AAAAAAAAAAAAAAAAAAAAAAAAAAAAAAAAAACAATTAAAACTATACTAAACGAACCTATGACTTCGTTCATTCCTATGGATTCTAACGATCCACACCGAGTCTCCCGAATCGGAAAATTATAAATTAAATCACCTTCCGAATCCAACCAAAATATCACGGAAGAGTTTACGTAATATAACTAAAAAAACTTTGTCCACGATGCTAATCACGTTAACGCATCCTTCATCATGCTCAGAACGAAGTTACCCTGATATACCAATAAAAGTGAGTCAGGTGAGTCTAATTTAATCGTTGAAACTAATGAATATAATGGTTACCATGGTTACCACTAACCAGCAAATATATGAAAAAGTGTAACAGTACCTAACACACCTATGATTGACCAATGAATGCCCGGTAAAGAAAAAGCCCAGTAGCAATTAAAAAATTGACCGATCCGATTATTGAATCAGACAGAACAATTTTTCAATTTACATTTTTCCCCACTCCGTCGAACACCCACAGATGAAATTTTATTTTCCGCCATCTCCTCTTCGCGCTTCATCCACGAATCGTCATACATTTTCTTCTTCTCGTCTCTCAAGCGTATATCGTGAATACACGTAAATAGCCGTCTAGCCAGTTAAAAATAATCTTGCTCGAATGCCGCATCAGATGCCAGATGCACCGAGTCGTCGATACGCACGGTTGACTGAAGGCATGCGTCCATGTAACCGTGGCGCGCGGATGATTCTTCTGAAACCAGAATCTTTAAAAAAAATTGTTAATAATTAAATTATTCAAAAATTTTTTTCAGTTTAAAAAATCGAATACAATAAAAGTATTAGAATTAGGCCTTATATAAAATTACGCTTACGCGTATCACGGTTATCAATCTTTTCACTGATCCCATACTTAGCTCTCTTATTCACCGTGTAATTACACCACAATATATATATATATATATATATATATATATATATAGATCAAAAGTGAAATGCTACAGGATCTACTCGGTGTGAAATAAGTTCGATAGGCTCACACGCTCGCCATACTGTCCTTAGGCTATTTCAGGCATGACCGGTAGCTCGCGCTTATACGAATCTTTCCCATAACGTTCGACACGCTTCGATAATCCGACACTTGTCTCTGATGTCAGATTATAAGCACTGTACGTGCTTTATATACGCCCGCATCGACATTGTATTCTCGTATATCTATATATATACGCGTGAGATAGGTAAATACATATAATACGGGCGAACTAAATGGATAAGATATGTATATATATGTATCTACATTGTAGTTTATCAGTTGACACAATTGAACGTTCGTTGAAAATGGTTTATATACACGATAAGGAAGTGGCGCCATTGCGATTTAATAATCATGCATTTTTTGAGAGATTATATAATTTTTCAAAATATAATTCAAATCGACTGGTCTTTATATCGTTTCGTTTAAAGCTCAAGTTATTTTATGGTCGACAGGATTTGAGTTGACGTTATGTGAATTCTGGTCTTGATGTGTCCTGCCACGTACTGGTTTCTAAGTGACGAAATTTCAATGCCCACAAATAACCGTCTAATGGAATTGGTTTACATGATCGATTCCGAACGTTGTGCGTTCGCACGCAGGAATCGATAGACGTTATGCATTAACGCGTATGAGGCAATAGAAAAGCATTATAAAAATTATGTCTTTTATTGTTTACCATGAGTAAACGTAAAGAAACGTTGAGCACGTGTACGGAACGTACAACTAGCCGGGGAACAAGACGATCACGTAATAAAATTAACCTGACTCGTAATAAAATGGAATAAAAAATGAATTAAATTTTGTCTTCTCTTGAAATCCAAACATAACCTAAAGCTGTGACACGTGTAGAAAAATCAATACTGTTAGGTCGAATATGAGACAAATAATGTAATTTGGGGTGTTATTCGCCATTTTCGTGTTATTTGATAAATATGAGGATCGTACCAAGGTATTTTATATTTTCTTATCGCAAATGCCATTTCGACTCCCAAGGTGTCACGTGACAGGTAATTGGGCGTCGCGGCGCTCCTACGTGGTAAAGGTGGAGACTGCGTATCCCTTGGCGTCGTCTGACGAGCCGCTTTGCATCCAAATGGGACATGGGCTAAATCATGCATCGAAGACTCAAGAGCCAAGAGAGGCTCAAGAACGTAGAGCCGTAAGAGCCTTTGGAGGAGAGGCGGCCCTTTTTCGCCCAATTATTCCAGTCGAGCTGCTTGGCCACTTCTGGAACGAGTTTCAGCTTTCTGCCTTTAGACGCACAAAAAACGAGGCTTTCGTTTAAAAGGAACCTACGTGTTCGATGCTCCGCGGATGGGTGTCTCTTGTAGCTGGACCAGGGGTATCAGCTTCCTACTGGAACAGCGTTAAGTAAATAAACCGGAGACTCGTTTGATATGAAAAAATGTTAGATATTAAAATTGGTAGAACGATTGAAAATTTTAAATTACACAGTGAGTTATAAGATTGCAGAGGGAGATGTACGAATTTTTGAATATTATCAAAATGCTATGTATAGTAATATCCATGATAAAGTTTAACGATGGAAATTTTTAAGTGCACTTACGTCGAGCATACGTTTCCACCCTGTACTGTCTATATCTATTTCCTGTGATAAAAAAAGATCTTGGCATCGCACATGCGGTTCATTCTAAATAGACTTGAAGGTCAACTAAATAAGCATCTAAAACGATGGAATTTGCAATATCCGCCCATGCAATTGTAACTAAGCGTACTGGCTGTTACTGTCAGTGACTAATAAGTGGCGTAAAAAATGTATTCCATTAAAATATCGAGTATCATAAAAAAAAAAGTAATTGCCAATGCTGTCTCCTTATATTATAAATAACACGTCAGTTAATCTCTGTCAACAAGGTCGATCAATGCAATTGGCGAATGAGTAACAATGCAAAATTATCTGGCAAAAGTCTGGTATTATCTGGTAAAATTATCTGCTGCCAAGAACAATAATCAGGCACGTCAGTACTTAATTGTACGAAGGGTATTTTTGTGGAATTTACACCATGCAAATAATCAAACTATAAATAACAATGTAAGAAGTTACAGTCGAATAATGTAATGTAATTTAAACTGAACTTAATATAATTTAATACTGTATCGCAGAGTCGCATGAAAAATTGTATAAATGAAAATAATAGAAAAGTTATGGGTACAGAGGAAACGAAGAGTATCCTCATTGGTCCAGCCGTCCGATCTTAAGGAAGCCGACGTCTTTCGTCACGATGCTGCAAGATTTACACCCACTGTGTAGAAAACGCTTCCTGCCACTTTGATCGTGCTGCGCGCGGAAGAGGCTCGAGCGATTTCCAGACCCAAGAAGACAAGAGACAAGCGGCCAACGGCTGAGCAGCTGAGAAGGAGTACGGGGAGTGCATCATCACAGTAGATGCATCCACCATTCACCGATGCACCGATTAATCACCAGGTCCCTTATGAGCGCCTTCTCGTAGTAGATGCACTATAAATACTCGCAAGCCGAGCGTGTGAGGTCTGCGTTCATTCATGCGGACTAGGTACCAGCCAAGTGCTTCTTTTGAGGTTGCCGCGAGTAAAAATGGCTTTAGGAAATTATTCCATGTAGGTAATCAGTCAGATTGCATCTGGAGCTAAAGTTGCAGTTGGCCTTAGGCAACTGGAACACGGTAACCCTTAAGGTGCTGCTGATCTTGTTTCTAGGTTCTCTTTTTTTTATCTGCTTCTCCTGGTAAAAGTCACGATCGACTGGGTACTTAGGTGAGTTTGATTAATTTTCTTCTTTATTTGCCTTCCTCGTTCCCGGAAAGTAATTCAGTCGGGAACGTTTGAAAATTTACCGCGTGTCAGACTCGGAGAATGGATGCTGCGTTAAGTGAATATAGGGACCCTCCGACGTGCGTGGGCTGTGTCCTCTTTCTTTAACGCGGACAAATATCACTTCTATTTCTTTCTTCTTGACCCGATCACATTTTTTCATCGGTGTATTGACTCTAATCACGCGTTCATGCTTCATAAATGCGACGTGTGCTCGTTGAAGAGGCGTCCAGGATTTACGCATCTTCGAGCGTGATGACATGTTTGATGAACCTTGCACAGAGAAGAGACTCGATGTCGTTATACTTTTCATTATCAGTTTAAAAAAATTGTTATAAATACTCTTGGTAGTACTACACCATGCACAGTGTATAATATACGTTGATGGAAGACCATTCATATATAATAATACAGTATGTGCACTACAGTGATATATCTAGTAAGCGAGAAATTCAAAATTTCCTGTAAACTCAATTAATTTTAAAAAATTATCATTTCTTGAATGAACGGCAGCATAAATATTTATCGTGGTAAAAAATCAGTATAGTATCTGGGTCAAAGATCATTTCTGACCCTGTATCGAAGCTATCAAAAGCGAAAGCCGTATAAAAGCAAAGTCATGTGAAAAAGAGCCTTTGGGGTCTTGAGATCCATGGGATTAACGACGTGACACCATGGGGTCAGTAGGTATCTACTTAGGTATAAGATGGGAGCGTGAACAGGTTAGGGCAACGAGAAAATTTGACGAGGCGGTGAAAGATTCTATACTTTCTTTTTCCTCTCTCCTTCCTTTCTCATCGCCGCACCTTGTCGATCTCATTTTATTCTACTGACGATCCGACGTGAGATAATTACATGCGCTACCCTGCTGAGATCCCATAATAACGCCTGGAGTTTCAGTCTCAACCAATGGGAAGTCTGAGTGAACTAGGAAGTATTTTCCATAAGAACGAACTAGAAGAATAAACTACGCCATATATCGTAAATACCAATGACCATCAGTTTACATATCGTTACATAAACCGTACAGGTAACACTTTCACGAAGTCATCGAATATCCTGTAAAGATTTATAACCTACAATTTGCTCGCACGTTATTCACGTCACGAGTGCTTCTCGGAACAAACCGATAACAATGCTACTACAAACTGTATAAAAGATAGAACGAATTTACGAAGTTTTATTAATAGTGAACAATCCTATCAGGTAGTGTGTAAGCATTGCTTATCATTTCCTAGTATAACACGTACTCCAGATAGTTCGAGTAAGAGACAATTCCAGTTACCTTATTATCACGTAGACGACGTGCCACAGTAAACAATTGCAATCAACAACTTGCTAAGGAGAACACTGCCATCCGTCGTTAATAAAGCTCTCGAGAGTCAAGCTAGATTAAAATGTCAACGACACTCACGCACAAATATCCAAACTGTTTTCTCAATATTAAACCACACTGCTATATCCAGTATTAAAGCAACCGTCGCAAATCATGCCATTCGTCAATTTGACGCTGTCTGGAGGACGACGCCATGTTTGACTACAGCGATCGAAGCGCCCTTAGTTCGGCGCTCACTCACAACCGGTGAGCAGTATAAATATATACATATATAAGAAACAGCATGAATATAAAAAAATGTTTTAAGAAACTCTTTCGGTAAACGGACCAGCCGTATTAAAATCACTATATACAGATATATATAGCATGGATGCCTCGATTTATTGTGGCTTGTCCATTTACCAGTGGAATCACCCTAGAAAGCTTCGAAGAATGCGAGCGCAATGAAAATAATACAAAGCGTAGTTCGAGGAAAGCGAAGTTGGAAGTATGTAGCGCTGGTTGATAGTTGTGACGACGAAGGAGGAGGACAAGGAAGGCGTGCCCACTTATGCAAGCGAGTGATCCCACTGTGCTATAGATATATCTCGGGTGTACATACGTGAGCACTTATGCGCGTATGACGTTACGTACGGATGGATAAACGCATAGATATAAACATGGCGGCCGACAAGACGGGACAACGACGGGAACCGTCCTACATGGCCCACGCGTTTCTTCTTTACTTTGACTCCTCGGACTTCGGTGTTCTGTCCCCTTTTATAATCGTGCACGTTCGCTCCCTGCCGCAACGAGGATACCCGACCGTACAAGAGGATACACGATCATAAGGTACGATATGCGAAGTACCTATAGCGAGACTAATGCTCGTACAGGATGCATTAGAGCACCTCGATCATTGCTTTGGTAATACGTTGCTGTTACTTATACATCATTTGTAATGTATTACCAGCCTATCCTCTTAAATGATCTCTTTAGGGTCGTCAGTGATGTACAGTTAATGACCTCTGAGTAATGCATTGATAAATGCACGTGTATATTTACGCTTAAAAATACGAGGCATCATGGGTAATTCTCAAACAGCTCGAACATACAGACTACAAATATCAACGCGTATCAGGCCTTACGTAATCTTCGTTAAATCTGGACAGTCTAATTTAAATCATTCCGTCAGCGAATTTACTCTTAAGGCGTTTATATGAGTTAAACGTCAATCGGGATTAATGGAGCGTTTCCATTGCAACTTGTAATTAACAATTTGATACGGTCTGCACGCGTCGCCCTACACCGTATGAAAGGTCGTGGTACCATTGTATCTTTTTGTGCGTTTTATCGGAGCATTTCGAAACGCGTAAAAAAAGTAAAAGACTCGCGGTTCTTTATGCGGTACTATACGTTATGTCTACTCGGTGCATTCTGAATCGATGCACTTGCATCTTTCGTCCTCTCCCAGGAAGTATGCAATTCCTATGTTGCTCAAGGTGAAGCTTCGTTGGACAATTTGCTGCGGCTATGTTGCACGGGACGAGATAAGGCGGAATTCGTTATGCGAATCGCGTCCGACGTAGCGAAGATGCGGGCAATCACGATAACAATACGTATATTTAGGCGATGCCGCTTCTCGCGGTATGCATACTCCGCGTGCATGCAGTATGCACTTGCATCGGGATGCAGGCCGCTTCGTAGTTAGCAGGAGGCATGCCGGGCCCCGGTTCTTGGGTATCTCTATAATTTGTAGCGTCGGCTATTCGAGCGTGTAACTCTGTAATGACGTAATGACTCCGTCAGCCGATGGTAGTAACCTTAGGCGCTCACTTGGTTCGTGGATGCACCTTGATGCACTGGGATATGCACCCTCATGGTAGGTATGCGCATAATCGTCGGGAAGAGTATTGCGATACGAAACCTGTATACATCTAGCACGCGTTATTCGGGTAGTGAGTATATGGAACAATTTTTTTAACCGAGAAATAATTTTTGCAAAAATTTTTTTACTTCTATTTACAATAAAATTTTTTTAATACCATTTCAAAATGTAGATACACTATATGACGTCAGCTTAACGTGCTCTTACCTAACGACGCCGTTCTATGACACGGACACTTAGAATGGCCCCATTCGCTATTGAAAATGCGTGGGTTGATATAGTATAACGCTGCGAGTTTTTTTTTAGAACGCCACTTATGAAATTCTTTATGATCTCTTTGTTTCGGGATAAATAGACGGGAACTTGCGAAATATGATAGATGAAAAATGTGAATTGGGAAATATTAACCCTGAAATACGAAAGTGGCGTGGATATAAATATTTTGGAACTTAAATACAATATAGCAATTTAATATAAAATGTATCCTATTACCCTAAAAGGATATATGATATATTACTATAAACGTCATCCGTCAATTCCACGGTAATGACGTCATGAGAATTTCACTTTATACAAATTTCAAAATACTCCCAGCCTAGTCTTCCTTATTAATCGTTATTAACGATATTTTCATTATATTTTTACACTGTTGATATGTATTGCGAATAAAGTCACATATGAATCAATTGAGACGATTTCACTTTCGAAAGCTTCTACACAGCGCATTAGTACCCTCGTATGCAAACGACACGTAATATCGACCAATTGTCTTATCGACGTTATTTTCAAATGTCAATTATCGATTCATCAGTATTAATTGAATCCAGCAAAGATACACGTGACGAGTATCTATAAGTACGTACGTGCACTGTAAATGTCAGTGCTGACGTAACACATCGTTCCTGAACTGTACTTCGATATAATGCAGTTAATAAAAAATGCATATAACAGCAAGTTAAAAAAGACTAATAATTTGCCAAGAAAAACATATTTCTTGCCCACATATAAAATTGCAAAAGTTCCTTTCCCTCGTAGGGCAAAAAAAAAGCAAAGGCCACTCCAATGTGTACCAAGACAATTAGTACCGGCAATGCCGTATAATAATATTGAAAGGATGCAGTCGTTCCGTCTGGTACCATGTGTAGGTAGCCTCTCGAGCCACCTACGCGTGTGATACTTGTTCACATATGTGAATGCAACTCTCTCCGGTGCAATAGATCTCGGCGAGAAGTAAAATGCAAAATACAGTATAGACTCGTGATCAAAAGAAATTCTCATATGCACTTCGTACGTGCTATTGTGAAAAATGCACATGGTGACGTCACTCGCTGACGAGGAACGAAATTGCATCGATTTAACATTTATCCACTGTACATCTTAATCGGTCTCCAATTTGAATGATAACCCGATAACATTGAATGTTAACAGTCATTCCGTCTAATGTCACGTGTGGGCAGAGACATACATGCTACCCACACGCATGAATCGTCTGTGCATTTATTAACGCACGCGGCTCTCTCCGATCTGGCACGATAACCCATAGTGCGTATCAACTGTTGAAATTGTCAACCGTAACTGGTTTCGTGTCGTCGTTGAATCGTCAGCGATGCAATCGCGGCCGCGTATAAAAGTAATTGTCAAAAGTGTCAGAATTGTAACGACGAACGGTGACAGTTCGGTGTCGGTATAAACGAATGACGATAAAGAGTGCCATTGATATTATGCATAAAGTCATCCGCGTGATAACGGTATAACGGGTGTCGCCAGTTGAAACACCAACTGCCGTTTAATCGGGCCCCGGACGCTTCGCTGGGACTCGCGTGAATTTCCTGTTTGTTAACGGACGTCGACCCAGAGTCGAAACTCGTGTCACGCCCGCCACGTTATCAATGTATATTTTATACAGTCGCGAAGCAGATAACGTCGACATCGAAAAAGTTGGTTATCGTGTTATGCTGGGGGTAAAGAGGGTTTATATTTATGTCAGGGATACCACGATAACGGAACCTGTATTTGCTCTCAATTGCCGATCGAACGAGAGGATCAACTTGGGAGTAATGGAGTGGATAA